GCTGATCCTCCAAAGATGGCAGAGGTTGGTGGTCAGTGGTCACAGCCAGTCCTTGCAGCTGACTGGCCTGAGTAAATCCCTCCCATTGATCACTAACAGCAACCAAGGCTCAACTGCAAGAGGAGGGTATACTCAGCCTACATGAAGGGCATACCTTGAATACCCAGCTTGGGTGGTAGGGGAGGCTGTGCCACTGGACCCTACAGGACACCTATTACATTAGACCACACTACCAAGACACAGAATCAAAGCATCTCTATCTCATACACAGAAACAAACAGGGAGGCTGCCAAAATGAGAAGACAAAGAAACATGGCTCAACTGAAAGAACAGATCAGAACTCCAGAGAAAGAGCTAAATGAAATGGAGATAAGAAATCTCTCAGATGCAAAGTTCAAAATAATTGTTATAAGGATGCTCAAGGAACTTAGTGAGGACCTAAACAGCATAAAAAAGTGTGGCAGATACCAGCCAGCAGTATCTGCGGCTGCTGCGAATGCTCGAGATATGAGAGAAATACACACAGACTACCAAGTCCTGTAGAGGAATAGGGACAGTACAGCCACTCTCTAAAGGAGGGAGAGCACCCCGAACCACTGCCTGAGTAGGCTTTTCATTAGGTAGTATTGGGTAGGGACATGGATACAGCTTATTAACCATTGTCTAACAGTGAGGATCAAACAGATAGATAACATTCAAAGGGCTAAAAAGGGCTCCCACTGAGTTGGGGTCTTATCACCTAAAAAACTACAGAATTTGAGAAGCTAAATTCATTCCTGCGTGGGCCTTCATAATCTAATTAAGAGCATCCTCAGCAAGCAGATTTCACAGGAATTCACATATTCCTTTTTCAAGTTTGATCACCCCAGGAAGTCCAAAGTCCCCAGTGTGAATTGCACCACACCTTGTTATTGTCACAGGCTTGAGTCAGGCAGAAGAGACAAAGTTGAGGGACGGGGGTCAAACACCCCTTCTTTTCCACAGCCCCCCTGAGTCTTTCCCTGAGGGCCTTCCCACATAATCATGCCTGTCTTAGATCCATCCTCCTCTGAGGAAAATTACCCATCCTTGGCTAACCGACCAAGCAATGGGGGCCAGGCAAGGAGCAGGTAGCGCTCCTGCCAGGGAGATAAGCTTGTCTCCTTAGTGTCTCCTGGTCTGGAGGTCTCCCACTCAGCCTTAGCCATGGGGGGGTTACAGCTCCTGAAACCAGGCAGGGCGGTTCCCAACAAAAAAGACCCAGGCAGAAACAAAGGACATACTAGTTGAAATAAAGAATAACTTATAGGGAAACAACAGTAGAGCAGATGGAGCCAAGAATCAAATCAATGATTTGGAACATAAGGAAGCAAAAAACAACCAATCAGAACAAGAAGAAAAAATAATCCAAAAAAATGAGGATAGTGTGAGCAGCCTGTGGGTCAACTTCAAGCAATCCAACATTCATTTCATAGGGGTGCCAGGAGGAGAAGAGAAAGAGCAAGAAATTGGAAATCTATGTGAAATAATAATGAAAGAAAACTTTCCTAATTTGGTGAAGGAAATAGATATACAAGTCTAGGAAGCACAGGGAGTCCAAAACATATCATAATTAAAATGCCAAAGGTTAAAGATAAAGAGATGGGAGGGTAGGTGAGAGGTGAGGGGATTAAGAAGTACAAATAGGCCCTGGTCCCTCCCTTCCCTCTCTAAAAAAAATTAATAAATAAAATAAAATAAATAAATAAATCTTAAAAAAATAAATAAGGGTTGACTAATTATAATCTTTAAAAAAAGAAGTATAAATAGGTAGTTACAGAATAGCCATGGGAATATAAAGTACAGTATAGGAAATGGAGTAGCCAAAGAACTTACACACATGACCCATGGACATGAACAAGGGTGGGGTATTGCCTGAGGGAGTGGGGGGTGCTGTGTGGAAGGGGGCAAAGGGGAAAAAACCAGGACAATTTTAATAGCAAAATCAATAAAATAAAATTAAAGGAAAAAAGAATATTATATATAAAGAAAAGCAAGAAAAGGAGGTACTAGCTAGAAGAAGACAAAGTACAAAAAGGATGATTTTTTAAATGGGAGAGACAACTTGGTGGAGGAAAACTATTAGAGGAGCTAAATACCAGAGAGAAGGTGCTGAGCCAGGGAAAAGAATCTAGATGAGGGTGAGAAAGGTTGACTGGTGAGACCCGGTATCCATGAGACTGAAGGAAAGGGTGGGTCTGGATGTGGATGAGTCGGGAGAGAGCCTGGCCTGAAGCTGTGGGAGTTTACAGAGTTTCATTTCACACAGCAAGTGAGAAATGGTAAACCTGAGAATAAGGAAAGGACAAAGTTTATGATAGAATAGGTAGTTTATTCATTCAGCTGTTTTTTATTGGATGGATGCTAGGACAGTTTCTAGGTACTGGAGATAGAGGAGTGAACTGAAGGCTAATGGGATTTGAGTTACTGAATCATGCCAAAGGTATAAAGAGAGGAAAGGGGAAACTAGTAACTGTGGAATACTAAGTAGTGTTTTCTCAAACCACCTACATCTCTTACATAGGTTGTTTTGGCATTACTAACTAGGCAGATCACTAGAGGGATAGTAGTCTATGTCAGCAGTTCATTGGTTGATGCATTGAGGGTGAATCCTATTGAAGATAAATGGGATCCTAAATTCTTCTACCAGCTGGTGTAATGTGTCATGCTTTCCTGTCTTATAGAGTATTTTTTCTTCTCCAGTGATTTAATTCTGTGAAATGTGTGAGGATGTTTTAGGTGAGATTTTCTTTTTTCAAAGACTCATTCACTTATTTTATAAACAAATGTAAGCACTACCTACATGCCAGGCACTATTCTAGCTGTTTGAAATATGTCAGTAAATTAAACAGCAAATGTCCCACCCTAATGGAGCTTGCAGTATGGTGGGGGGAAACAGACAATGAGCAGTCACTACATAATAAAGAGGCATATTACACAGGTAACTAAAAGGGACAGTGAGTTCTAGCCAGGGTAGATATGGCTCAAAAAGAGAGACACACCTGGTGGCAGGAGACAGACATCACTTCACGCCAAGTGTCCATTTAACATTGCACAACTCAGTTCCAGTTGTGTTGGCCTTATTAGTTAGAGGCTGCATGCTTTTGGAGGAAAGAAAAATTATAGCAAGGCAAGGGGGGTTGAAATTGCAAAGGGTCAGGTTGCACTGTTCAGGGGGTTGGTGAGGACAGCCTCTCCAGGAAGGTGGTGTCTGACCTGACTGGGAGCTGTGAAGGGGTGCAGCAGTGCAGGTATCTGGGAGAAGGCAGTTTGTGTGACAGACCCAGTGGGCACCAAGTCTCTGAGGAGAGAGAGCCTGCATGTCTGTTTTGGAATAGCCAGGAGGCCTAAGTGGCTGACAGGAGAAAGTAGGGGAGAGATTAGGAAATGATGCCAGAGGGACTATATGGCTACTGAGCTTAGCACTTTCTGGAATACCCTCTCTTATTTTGTATGTGGTTAATAAAGAGATGTGCGGTCAGGGAGAAGCTAGCCAAAGGTGAACTATGCGAGCCCTTGGCAGAAGAACCAGAAACAGCCCTCACAGAGCTTCTGGGACCCAAGTGTAATTGCTCTTCTCTAGCTGAGCTATCACCTCCCATTACAGGGCTGCTAAACTGGGGTGAAAGGGAGCTCAAACAGCAGGGGAGAGGTAGATAAATGGCCCCAGGAGCACTGGTCAAGTCCCAGATTACCTTGGTTTGATTAAGTGACCCCCACTGGCTTCATCGATCTGCATCATTGCTTAACCTGGTCTTCCTTAGAAATAGGGAGTCATGATGAGGGAGGATCCTAAGCCATCCCAAACTCTGAGTAGTTTTAAAACCAAAAATAAACCTTCCTATATCTCACCTTCTAGAAAAATGGGACAGACTCCTAACACACAGTCAGAGGGAGGAGTTGCTTTGTGGTGGGGAGTTGGTCAGGTATTTGAGTGTGTGCTCTTTCTAAGGCATATCTGGGGCTGAGAATATCATTTGGCTGCATGTTGCTGAGTCCACACATGCCATGAAGTCTGGTGCTAGAAAATAGTGATAGTGTGGCATAGATTTTCTCTGACTAATAAGGCCAACACAACTGGAACTGAGTTGTGCAATGTTAAATGGACACTTGGTGTGAAGTGATGTCTCCTGTTACCAGCTGTGTCTCTCTTTATGAGCCATATCTACCCTGGCTAGAACTCATTGTCCCTGTGGTGTGGCTCATGCTCTCCCCTCTTTGTTTCTGTAATTAGTAAGGAGACAGTTCTTCAAAATTACTAACTCAAGCTATAGCGAGATTCATTTTAACATGGTACTGTGTTTGGAGGGAGCTGTCTTTTCTTTTTTTTTTAACTTTATTTTAATTATTGTTCAAGTACAGTTTTCTGCCTTTTACTCCTTTTCAAATGACAGATTTGTACAAATGTTTTCCTTCAGGGTTCTAGCATTGTTAGGCAAGGGAAGGTTCCTGGCCATGAGGCTCCTGATATGTGAATGGGAAATTGAGGCTGCAGTATGCAGGCAGGAAGGTAGGGGTGGTGCATGCTCCCTGGGCTGCAGTGGGGAGGGAAGGGACATACAAGCTGCTTTGGCCTGCAATGGGCACAGCTCAGCGAGGCCAAGTACCAAGTGTCAGAAACAAAGCCCTAGTCACTGCAGTCCAGGAAGCTGTTGCAATGACACCCCACATGCAGGGTTCCCCTCCAGGCTTTGCTTTTACAGACATTCTAACAAAGGTGAGTGCATTAGCTCTTCATAGCAGAGAGGGCCAGTCACGGACTCAAGAGGAAACTGGCAGTGAGGCAGGAAGTGGTGTCCCCAGTCCTGAGGGCAGGCCATCTGCTTGTGTTCTTGGGGTACTGGGCCTCAGGCTCTCCCTGTGACATGTGCCCAGGTCTGCAGTGACTGGACAGATTGTCCCAGGAAAGAGTGCATTGCAATTGCATGTCAGGTTTCAAACTAACCTTTCAACTCACCTTTCTCTCTAACCCTGTACTCCAGCTGCCCACTGCTCTGCTCAGGCTCAAGACCGACCAACCACTATGGTGTCACCCCTGCGCACCCAAAACTCCCCATCTTGCCTGCCCACAGCCAGCCTCAGGCCCCATTCCATGGTGTCCCCAAAGCACCTCCATCAGCCCCCAATGCAGACCATCACTGAGGCCCAGTGCATCTGGCCAACCATCCCATTCATGTCAGCAGCATCAGCCATCACACCTCCCAATGTCACTGCTGCCAATCTCAATGGGAACACCGGAGGGGGGACTGTTAGCAGCCTGTCAACATCCGGCCCCACCAACATGGAATGCAAACCTGATGAGAAGAAAAATGAAAAGGTAAGCAACCCATCATGAGTGAGCCCTGGCTCTGGCCCAGCTGGTTATCGTAACTCTTTGGCACCCAATGCCAAGGATGTTTTATACAACTAAGTCTTGAAGGTGGGCACCAGGCTTGTGACAGACATGGAGGTCAAACCATTAAGCAGCTGGTTATTGAAGTGGAACTCAGGCCTCAGGTATTCATAAGGTTGACCCAGGCCCAACTATATTTATGCAAGAAAGAAAAAAAATGTGTCTCCTCCTCTAGGTGCGTTAGTCCGTCTAACAGAAAATTGTTGTGATATATTCATTTTCTTAGAGCAACATTCTTATTGCCATGTACCAGGATATTATAATAATAATTACATAAATCTACTTATGTGCACCCACTCCCTTCCATGTGAATCCTTATCAGTCCATAACCTGTTCAGTCACAAGGAGAAGATCTGTCTTCCCAGGAGAAATGAGAGGGGGATGCCAGCCCAACACTTGGCATGGGTAGCATTTTTATCTATTCTTTTAACTGTAAAGGAATTAAGTTTATTTCACAAAATGAATCTGATTTCAGTGAGCTTGCCTCAGTTGCCACCCAGCTAGACATTGGATTAGCCAGGATTAGACTCCAGATTTCTAAATCAGTGCTCTATAATTTAAGACACACATCTAACTTAAAGTCTCCTAGTAGCTACCTTTTTAAAAAGCTTAAAAATATAAAAATAAAATTAAAACGTGAAATTCATTTAATGGTATAATCTATTAAATTCCATATCAAAAAATATTATCATTTCAACATGTAATCTATATGAAAAACTTGATGAGATGTTTCACCTTTCTTCACATTCAGTCTTTTAAAGCCACTGGGAAAGCCAGTGGGACAGTGCCAGTGCTCATGGAACAGTGTCTCTATGGCTCTATGGGCAGTATGGGCCTAGATCTTCAACAGGGAACCATCTCTATTGGCCTTGCTGCATAAAAGGTTTATGCTCATTCTCTCTTGGCTTTACCACATTCTGTGAACTTTTTTAAATCTTTCCATATAAAACCAGTGTTTTATCCTACCCTTCATGACAGTATGGATGGAACTGGAGAGCATTATGCTAAGTGAAATAGTGGTGAAATATAAATACCAGTATGATCTCACCAATAAGTAGAACCTAATTGACAGAACAAACAAGCAACTGAAACATAACCAGAAACATAGAAATAAAGAACAAACAGAGAGTAACCAGAAGGGAGAGGAAAGAGGGAAAATAGGGAAAGGTCCATCAAGGAACATTTTAAAAGATATATGGACAAAGCCAAAAGGGGTAAGTTTGAGGGTGGGAGGTGGGGATTGGTGGGGTGGGGTGGGGTGGCGGGGTGAAAATGGAGACAACTGTATTTGAACAAGAATAAAAAAAGAAAATTATTTAAAAAAAACTATTTTGATTGGAGTGTGCTAGCTAGGGTTGGGATGAGGCCCTCAACACTAGTGAAGACAGCCTCTCCTGTTCTTTGGGGGCAGTACCAAAACCAGTGTTGACTGCTCAGTCCATCATCCCAGGACCCCTGGAGCCACACCCACCCTCTCAGCATGCAGTGGTTAGTGGGATTCCAGGAACCCTGCATAGATACAAACACCAGAGTCTTCAGGACCTCTTGACCAACACTCAGGTCTTGTCACCACCTGTCTCGTCTGTTTCCGAGGAAGGTGATTCCCATGCTAACTGGTGTGGAAAAGGCCTTAGTCACAGCCACTACTGCTGAACTCTCAACTGTCAAAGCTCAAAGTTCCTTGAGTCTAACAGGAAGCCTGGGTGTGAAGCACAGTGGTTGCTCTGTGTTTTGTGTCCATGTCTGTGTGAAAATCACCGAGGTCTTGATCTGCTCCCTTCTACCTACAGTCTGATTAGGAGATGTGACTGGGTCTTGTCAGGTAGCACAGATGGGGGTGTGGTCCCACTCTCTCATTTGGATATTTCCTGGAAGACAAGATCCCCTAGACCTCCTAAATGCTGAGGAAAAAACAGGGGAGACTTAGGGAAGTGCTATAATAGCTCTGTAAACATTTCTGGTTCTTTGCCTCCAAATTCCCTCTTTATAGTTTGTGAAACAGGGCTGGCTTCAAGTGGCTTCAAGTAGGGTCAGATTTGTAGGAAGTTGTATGGAGAGTGATATCATTCACCATCTTTGCCCTCCTAAGTGTATTGCTAATAAAGACAAGCACTGGGTCTGCTGTCAGCAGGCCTGGGCTGTTTGACATTCAGCAGGTATTTTGCTTTCACTCAAGGCTTACTTTCTGCTAACAATTCTCCTACATCAGCAAGGAATAGTGGAGTCCATGGTTTCTCTTGATGGAAGGCACCTTGGAAGAAAGCCCTGCTTACAGATGGAAAGCAGAAGATATGTCAGCTTAACTTGGAGAACTCCCCAGGCTAAGCCTGGCAGTGGGAATGCACAGGCCACTGCAGGTTGTACCTGGCCAGTCCTGGCTTAGGCACAGACTTCTCAAAGCACAGAGAGCAATTTATGTTTTGCTCAAGTAGAAAGTGAAATGGACTTGGTGGGAAGGAATGAGCATGAGTCCATAGGATAGCAGCAATCTTCAGCATCAAACCCCAGCAGACAAGTACATCATCCTTACAATGTTAGGTGTAGTTTTCATTTCTCACCTTTCAAACAGAGGGGGAAAAAAGAGAAAGGAAGGAAAAAAGAGAGAGAAAAAGGTGAAAAGAAGGAAGGAAGGAAGGAAAGAAGGAAGGAAGGAAGGAAGGAAGGAAGGAAGGAAGGAAGGAAGGAAGGAAGGAAGGAGAGAAAGAAAGAGAAAGAAAAAAGAAAGAGAGAAGGAAAAGAGAGAAAAGCAGTAGTCTGATAAATCACCTGTTAATGTTTTTCCCTTCTGTATTCAGAGTTGAATTTTTCCTAATTCATAGTAAGGTACAAAATGCCCACAGTTTCTATTTGTAGAAGAGTCAAGACAATGGCTGTTTAAATCCCACTCCTCAAAAGCAAGCAAGCCACTGCAGTGTACTCTAAGGCAGCAGTGTGAATGATTACAACTGAACAGGTTTTCCCAACCTTGAGAACACAATGGTTGGCTTCATATCAACTTCTGGGGAGCCCATTGTAGGTGTGCACATGTCTGAGTGTGGCCAAGGGACTTATAAAAGGAACTGGCAATATTCTCCAAGCTATTTGTTACTCAATTTTCCCCCAGAAAACACAGCGAACTCCTAACCCCAATGTCCAGGGAGATCTAAACTTCAGTGCCTGTGTGTTTTCATAGTACAGATGCTGAGCTCTGCTGCGATTTGATTTGGACCCTTCCAGGCTTGAGCTTGTGAGACAAAACCTTGACTGATGAGGCCCCTGGGTGCTTGCAATTAACTATCTCCCACACTGTGACTCTTCTCTGGGCCTGACTTCACATAATGCCCTCCTGCTGTTAATGTGCCCATGAGGCACTTACCCTTTCCTGTGAGCTTGGCAGCAGGATCTTTCAAACCATGTGTTTGTAAATAACTCATTCATGGGCCGCAAAACCAATTTACTGTATGTGGACCAAATTTTATTTAGATCAAAAAGGATACATAGGATGAAATGGATGAGATCAGCCTACATGGCACACAGTGAGGTAGGGATATTGGGGAAAACTATTGTAACTGCTGTCTTTTAATATATTTTATTGATTATGCTATTACAGTTGTCCCATCCCCCCACCTTTATTCCACCCCACCCTGCACTACCTCCTATCATCATATCCCCTCCTTAGTTCATGTCCATGGGTCATATATATAAGTTCTTTTGCTTCTCCATTTCCTGCAGTATTCTTAACCTCCCCCTTTCTATTTTGTACCTACCATTTATGCTTCTTATTCCCTGTACCTTTTCGCCCATTTTCCTCCCTTCCCCTGCCCACTGATAACCCTCCATGTGATCTCCATTTCTGTGATTCTGTTACTGTTCTAGTTGTTTGCTTAGTTCATTTTTGTTTTTGTTTTTGTTTGTTTTTCTTAGGTTTGGTTGTTGATAGTTGTGAGTTTGCTGTCATTTTACTATTCATATTTTTGATCATCTTCTTTTTCTTAGATAAGTCCCATTAACATTTCATATAGTAAGGGCTTGGTGATGATGAACTGCTTTAACTTGGCCTTATCTGGGAAGCACTTTATCTGCCCTTCCATTCTAAATGAAAGCTTTGCTGCATAGAATAATCTTGGATGTAGGTCCTTGATTTTCATGACTTTCAATACCTCTTTCCAGCCCCTTCTTGCCTGTAAGGTTTCTTTTCAGAAATCAGCTGATAGTCTGATGGGCACTCATTTGTAGGTAACGGTCTCCTTTTCTCTTGCTGCTTTTAAGATTCTCTCCTTCTCTTTAACCTTGGGTAATGTAATTATGACATACGTTGGTATGTGCTTTTTTGGGTCCAACTTCTTTGGGACTCTCTGAGCTTCCTGGACTTACTGAAGTCTATTTGCTTTGCCAGATTGGGGAAGTTCTCCTTCATTATTTTTTCAAATGAATTTTCAGTTTCTTGCTTTTTCTCTTCTCCTTCTGGCACTCCTGTGGTGCAGATGTTGGAACATTTAAAGTTGCCCCAGAGGACCTTAAGCCCATGGTCAATTTTTTAAATTCTTGTTTCTTCATTCTGTTCTGACTGAATGTTTATTTCTTCCTTCTGCTCCAAAACTTCGATTTGAGTCTCATTTCCTTCCTTTCACTGTTCGTTCCCTATACATTTCTCTTCATTTCACTTTGCATAGCCTTCACTTTTTCCTCCATTTTGTGACCATACTCAACCATTTTGTGAGCATCCTGATTAACATTGTTTTGAATTGTTCATCTAATAAGTTGGCTATCTCTTCATCTCTTAGTTGTATTTGCTCTGGAGCTTCGATCTGTTCTTTCATTTGGAGCATTTTTTTTTGTTTCCGTGCACCTCTTATGTAGTAAGGGTTGGAGCCTTAGGTATTCACCAGGGTGGGGCAACCCACATTGCTGCTTTGTGGTGCTCTATGTTGGGGAAGGGTCTGAGA